CATCTTGTCCTGGCGGCAGTTCGAATGGTTTGCACAACCTTCCTCCTTTCTTGGCCATTGCTTCACCCCGAAATGCTTCACCCGGCCTGTTTGAGGCTCAAGATATGCGATCAGTCCGGGAAGCCCAGTGGAAAGGGTCCTGAGACTGGCTGACAATCTTCCCACTTCAGACCCAAGTTCCAGGCCAAACTCGATAGGATTTGGGAACCAGGTCAATTTGTAGAGGGAGAAGATGGTGACCCCCTATGAGGGAGGCCAGGCCCGTTCAGATTCTTGAAAAGGGAGCTTCGTTTTTTGCCTTTCTCGAGGACTGGTCTCTCAATCTTTGGGACGTGCGTGAGCAAATCATGCTCATGACCATCCATCCAGGAAATCAGCATACTCAACATACTCCTCCTCTTCAGTGCGCGCGTTCGCGCGAGGATCACAGGTAGGCTTGGAATGGCCTAGAAGACTTAGTAGCGTCCGAACGCTGCTAGTGGTATGGCCAGGAGCCCCTAGTAGCTTCTTAGTTACCAGTAGCGATGCCAGGAGCCCCGTTCGTAGCGTCCGATCGCTCCACATCCTCGAGTCCTCGAGTCTCACCCTGACGTTCGGACAAAACGGAGCGTTTATTCGACCATGCCGCATGAACCAAAAGCAGCGTTCTGAAAACACAGTGTTTTAGAAAACAATCTGAATGGTCTGCAGTTTGAGAACACTTGCACTTATTGAATTGAATTGAAAGCAAGTATTCAATTCAATAAGTGCAGACCTGCCATCAGAGTCTCCACCGAACACAAACGGACATTTGCAAAACGCTGGTTTCTATGTTGTTTTCATAGTTCGAAAGTAAGTTAGAATAGACTATTCACAGTCTATTTCTTATCTTTGAGTTATTTTTGGTCTTCCTTAGCAGGGCCTTATTAACAGGCTAACCACAGTGTATAAGGGGTCTATCAAGACACACCGTGACACGCGTGGGTGCGCCGCAGCATGTCCCCTGCTGCGAAAGCTTTCATGATATGACATGGACTCCATGATCCATGACATTCCCGTGGCATGCTTCGATCCCAGAGAGAGCCACAGACCCGCGTAGCGGGAAACGACATCGATCGGGATCAGACCATCGATTCTGATCGGTTCGGCGTTCAGGGACAGGTCAGGGCGTCTAGGTATAGAGGTTGGGGGTGTCCCCCTATCAACTGTAACAGTCAGTAAACCATGGTATATCAGACAGTTTTTGAACAAGGCCTGTAGTACTGTAACCATCATCCACCGTTACTGGTAATGGGATAGACTCAATCTATAGGTGAAAAACATGTGCAAAAAGCAAGAAATCATGACTTAAGTCTACTTAAGTGCAGATTTCATGGTCACCATGATCCTCCAAGAGGCTCCTGCCCGAAGGATCTACTTCTCAGTCAGCCCCCGATCCGACGGCTGCAGAGTCTTATGTGCTGCTAGACGAGTCTGCGGACTTAGGTAGTCCACAACGACGTGCACCCCATCAAAGAGGCTCCGCATGCGGATCCGGATCCGCGTGTGTTGGCGAAGACGGATGAGACCCCCCCGTCACAGGGTCCTCCCCCCCCATATCACCTCAGACACCGAGGGCGCATCCACGGGGGGCCCGCTGGGTCCCTTGCGGTGTTTTCTCTTTCTTTCAAAGGTGGTTCCATCCTTCAGGGGGGGAGGAGGTCACGCCGCGTCGGTCGCGAGTCCGAGTCTTCTCTCGGACCTTTTGGGCTGGTTTCAGGTGGCGCAGGTTTCTCAGCACCCGAGCTCCGCATCCGAGCCACGCAAACCCCACCCCACCCCTCTTCAGGCACCCCACGCCAACCCACCGCACCCTAGTCGCCTCGTCCGAGCTCCAGGATCTCACGGGCATCAAAGAGCAGGAGGAACGTGACTTTCGCACCGCCACTCGGCAGCGATTTGGACGAAAGACAGGCTGACAGGCGTGACAGGCGGCTTGAGGCGAGCGCCTGCGGAATGGGACGAATTTGAAACTCCGCACCGAAACCAAGAGCCAGGAGAAGTGCTGGTTTTCTCACGCCCAGAAAACAACTTATTCAACCATTCGG